TGGGGCTTTCAAGGGCTGATTTGTTTGGAACGTGATCACCAGCCCCTCCTTGCAAAGTGCCTCTGAGTAGCCTCCCCCCTGCAAGCTTACAGCGGGCGACTGAGTGCACTGACTGTTTGCACCCCGAGTGACTGCACAGAGCTGTAGACACAGAGACACATACATTGAAATACACAGACAGGCCCTTCTTCCTTGGCCCTGCTGGCTGCATTCGAACTGCCAACCTCTAGGGGAGTCAAGTGGGACTTGTTTGTACCCAGACATGAAGGGGGACCAAGGGCCCAGTTACCTGCGCTGGAGCAGTGGACAATTGCGACGCCCGTGAACACGCTGTGTTCCTTCCCGCTTAACCTGCAAGACACGCCACGCACACCCGTCTCACACGGACTGCAGACAGGCGCTGCCACCTTCCAGGGCCAGCCCTATCACCGGGTCCGCGCTCCCACACCTCCCCTCTGCCTCCCTGCCCTGAAGCTCTGCAGGGACTGCTTTGTAGGGAGATGTCGTGCATGGAGTGGTGGCCCCCCCAGAACGTGTCCTGGTGCCCTGGCCCCTGTGCCTGTGGGTAGGGTCCTGTCTGGGAAGAGGGGTTTGCTTTGGTTGCATAAATGAGGTCAGACCAGACACAGTCGGGCAGGTGCCCACCCAGCACCTTCTGAGCTCTGCGGGACCACAGTGGATAGCTCATCTCTGGGTCATTTCCCCCAGGGGCTTGTTAGCAAAAGATGGAAGGAGAGACACACATGGGGAAGACGGCCCCCGTCCTCCCAGCACCCACCTGGAAAGCATCCGGTACGCGTCCTCTTTATCCAGAGGCTTCTCCAGGATCAAGCCGCCTACTGTCTGCAGGGAAGAGAGGGAGGCGTCCTGAGGCGGTCCCTTCCTGCTTCAGCTCCCCAGACACTGCTTGAGAGCGACATGAAATTCGCGCCCTGCAGAATTCGCCGTTTCAGAGTGAACCGCTCGGCGGCCCTGAGTGCACCCCAACCGTGCCGCCCTCCCCTCTGTCTGGTTCCGGAACATTCTCGTCACCCTGAAAGTAGACCCCGTGCCCGCCAGCCGTTGTTGTTGTACGTTGCCGGGACGTTGATTCCTATTCGTGGCGCCCCTGTGTGGCCGAGCAGAAGGGCCACAGGGTGTCCCCGGCCGTCCGTGGCTCAGGAGACTGACGGGGCCTCCTGTGGTGACCTGCGTGGCCTCGAGGTGCCCACCTTTGCGCTAGCTGGTGAGCGTAAACTGCCCACACCACCAGTGCTCTGTCCATTCATGTCGTGCAGCCGTCGCCTCTGCCTGGCTCCAGAACATTCTCACGACCCCACAAAGAGCCCCGAGCCCCGTGAGATGTCATTCCTCATTCCTCCTGGGAACCACAAC